GCTGACGTATGGAGCGGAACCTGACAAGGTTATCAGTGTAAATCAAACAGTAAAAGAAGGTCCTTTCAACTAATCTGAATAACTGGATATGCACATAAGGGAGAAATGGGTCTTGACTTCCTCCACACATCATATGGAAAACTTAATTTAAATGCATCAGACACCCAAACACAGTGATACAATGTCTTCAATTACAGACCAAAACATACGAGGTCTTTGACCAAAAACATGTTCCAAACCAGGCCTGAAAGCACGAACCTGTAATTCCAGCTGCTCAGGATGCTGAAGGAGGGGGATCACCAGCTCAAAGGCTGCCTGAACTATCAAGTGACTCCAAGGCCATCTTAAATAACCTAGTGAGACCCTGTCGGAAAGAAGGGGGAAAAATAACATTTTTAGGCCGGGAGAGGTGAATAAGGTACTTGCTATACAAGCTTGAAGAGCAAAATTCCATCCCCAAAACCTAAGTAAAAAAGACCAGGTGTGGCAAGGCATGGTGACACACACCTTTAATCCCAGCACTTGGGAAGCAAAGGTAGGAGGATCTCTGTGAATTCAAGGCCAACCTGGTCTAAACAGTAAATTCCAGGACAGACAGAGGGATACACAAGAAAATTTTATCTCAAAAATACACCCCCCCCCAAACAAATAAAAAAAAAGACAGATATACACACTTGAAATTCCAGTGCTGGGGAGGCAAAGAGGAGGTGCCCAAGTACCAGGGGGAGGCAAAGAGGAGGCCCCTGAGTACGGTGGGGGCAGGGGGAGGAAGAGGAGGTCCCTGAGTACTGGGGGCAAAGAGGAGGTCCCGGGGACTTACTGACCAGTTAGCCCAGCTCAACCTTCTAGTTGAGCTAGAACCCAGTTACAAACTACCTCAAAAAACAAGATGCGGGGGGCTGGAGAGATGGCTCAGTGGTTAAGAGCACTGGCTGCTCTTCGAAAGGTCCTGAGTTCAATTCCCAGCAACCACATGGTGGCTCACAACCATCTGAAATGAGATCTGATGTCCTCTTCTGGCCTGCAGGCAGACACACAGACAGAATACTGTATACATAATAAATAAATAAATATTAAAAAAAAAAAACAAGATGCGGAGCTTATCCCCTCCCCCCTCTTTGAGACAGGGCTTCTCTGTGTAGCCTTGGCTGTCCTGGAACTTGCTCTGTAGCCCAGGCTGGCCTGTAACTCGGAGATCTGCCTGCCTCTCCTCCCTAGCACTAGTATTAAAGGTGTGTTGAGGGGGGTCCTGCAGATGCCATTCAGGGAAGAGAACCGTGCAAAGAAATGAGAATGAAACCCGGTGCAGACTGACTTCATCAACCTGGATCAGATTTCGGGAGTCTAATGTTGGGTGGTTCACTGTCAGCATATTTAAACACAGTACAATCTGGAAAAAAGTCTCCAGGCTACAGTCAGCCCAATTCTAGGTGCACAATGAAGCTTAAGACGTGACTACCCAGAAACTCCTTTACAAGACCATGTGACCATAAGGGTGGGTTCTGGGCTAAAAGGTCTAGAATCTGGTGTGGTCTCTGACCATAGCATAGAGGTCAGCAGGCCATAAAGTACTCGTGACACCTCCCCTAAGGATGGGTGACAGTCTAGGGAGGGAAGAGTCTGGGGTCATCATTCTGGGGGATTTCAGGTCTGCCTCTGTAGCACAAGGTGGGTGAGGTCTGCCTCCGCAGATGGCAAAAGGTCATTAACAAAATCCACTCACTTTCTGGATGGAATTTGGGTATTTGAGGAGACACCCTTCATGACTAGTTTCATTCCTGGTTCTCTTTGTCCTTTTCTGTGAGTACAAGAACCTCTGTGCCTCCAATATGATGTGCTACGACCGCTCCGAATCAACAATACCAGAGGTTGACCTCTGGCACACACATGTATTTGGACATGTAAGTGCAAACACAAACATACCCCCATATGTACACACCCGCTGTAAGGGACAGGGGTATGGCTAAGTAGTAGAGTACTGGCCTAGCTGGCGCAGAGCCCTGTATTCAACCCCAACACCAGATCCAACATGAGTCAAAAAGGGAAAATAAATTATTTGGGGTATAGCCCAAACCAGTCTCAAATGTGGCTTAGCCACCCTTCCTGTCTCCGCCTCCCTAAATACTGAAGTTACAGGCGTGTACCACCATACCCAGCTTGGGAAGTTTTACCACATTAGATGCTGTCACAGTTGGAATCTGGCTTTCTGAGGGTCGCTGTTGAGAGGACACAAAATGGGGGTTCATGAGTGTATCTCAGTGGTGGGTGTTTGTCTAGCATGCATGAGTTCCTAGGTTCCATCCCTAGCAGTGAGAATGCTTACAGAGAGAGATGCGAGAAGTGAGCAGAGCATGGTGTTGAGGGCCAGTAACCCCATACTCAGATGGAGGTAGGATGGTCATGAGTTCAAGATCACCCTGGGCAAGGTGAGATCCTGGAGAGATAGATGATAGATAGATAGATGGATGGATGGATAGATGGATGGATAGGTAGAGAATGTGAATGAACAGAGACTCAAAGCCAAGCCATAGGCTGCCATGACTTTAAAAGAAATAGTGGGGGGGCTGGAGAGGTGGCTCAGTGGTTAAGAGCATTGCCTGCTCTTCCAAAGGTCCTGAGTTCAATTCCCGGCAACCACATGGTGGCTCACAACCATCTGTAATGAGGTCTGGCCTGCAGACATACACACAGACAGAATATTGTATACATAATAAATAAATAAATATTTAAAAAAAAGAAGGGAGTAGTGGGAGGGTGTTGGGAAGAGGGGTGTAAATGGAAACTTTTATAATTTAATAAAATTACTTAAAAAAAAGAAAAGAAATAGTGTAACTACTTTGCAAAACAAGTTCACAGCTTCCTGTAAAGGCAAAGAAGGGCTAGCCTGGTCAGGTCTGCGGGTTCAAGCCCGTATTTAGACTTAAGGGAGTACTTACAAATTTAAGGCCAGTCTGAGCTACAGAGTGAGTTTAAGTTCAGTCTGGACAACTCAGTGATGCCCTGTGTCAAAATACAAAGTTAAAGGGAGGGAAGTGGCTGATAGCTCGGTGACAGAGTGCCTACGGAGCATGTGCAGTGCCCTTCTTCCGCGGGCAGCGCCACAGCAGAAGACATACTCCACCCTCCCGCGAACCAGCCCACCCACTTCTAGGAACTTTTCCAAGAGAAATGAAAATAGATATGCACATGAGTTTTATAGACATATGAAAGTCATTTTTATTCACAGCTGGAAACAACTTTGGGACTCCGAGAGGGTGCCTCAACACCAGCCCCAACTGTTTAATGGGTAAGACTGTGCGGTATCTCCATGCAGAGGAAAACCCCGGTGACAAGGAGGACACTACAAAGACACACTCTCTCAAGGACTAGAGATTGTATGTTGCCCTCGAGGCCATTTTGAGTTCGGCATTGACTCCTTCCAGAGCAAAAATTAATCATCTTTACAGCTTCCAGCTCTGCCCCTCCCAGATTCTTGTTTTTTAATGTTAAATTTAATATACCTTTTAAATTTTATTTTTATTTTATGCACACTGAGTTTTTTTGTTTGTTTTATTTTTAAAAGACTATTTATTTTGTATACAAGGTTCTGCCTGGGTGTGTGCCTATACACCAGAAGAGGGCATCAGATCTCATTATAGATGGTTGTGAGCCACCATGTGGTTGCTGGGAATTGAACTAGGGACCTCTGGAAGAGCAGCCAGTGTTCTTAACCTCTGAGCCATCTCTCCACCCCCTCCCAGCTTCTTAATGTGGTCCAGACATGTAAGCCTACACTGTACCTGCTTGAGGAACCCCACTCAAGCCTGCTTGCTTACCTAAACAAACCAATTAGAAGCTGCCTTGGTGTGTCTTGTTGGCTCTGGTGAAGTCCCTGGCCTATTTGCCCATCTCCTTCTGGATCCCCAGCAGCTGGTGGAGGACAGTGAGGGGAAACGCCCCAGCCATCCCTGCCTTCCATGGGGTCTATAATATACCAGCCGTATTCAGTGTGTTTTCTTGGGTCATCTGCTCTTCAGCCCACATGCCTAACACCCCAGGCCAATTTGTTGTTATTTTGAGGGAAAGGGGGCCAGGTTTCTTCTTAGGGAGACTGTCTTTCTAGGAATAATTCAGACACCAACAAGATAAGAGTCACACATTGTGAACTTGCCATTGGGAACAAATTGCATGTGCAGGGAACGTGTGGTCATAGGTCACACACCTAGGCAGCTGACACCCTCCACTCTTCTGTAGCAAGAGGAGGACATTGTAAACATGAAGTCGAAGTCAGGAGCTCTGGCCAGCCAAGGTCAGGTATGTAACCTCTGTCAAGTGACAGACCTCAGTGCTGAGTCAGAGGAGAATACAATCGTCTGCTGTATTCTACCACTGGTGGGGGGTGGGGGGGCTTCAGAGGCATTGTGCTCCGTGAAAAGAGCCAGGCACACGAGAGCAGTAGCTGACTGCTTCTGTTTGGAGGACATTCTGGGAACAACGGGGGACAGTATTAGAAATCAGAGCGGCGCATGTCTGCAATTGTGGAAGAGGTCGAAAGGCCGGAAAGAGGATAGAAGGGAGCTTTGGGGGGAAATGAAACTATGTTTCTTGAACTGGGGCAGTAGTTTGTCTGACCTTCCACTTGCCAAAGCCTCAGGTTTCAGCCAATATGAACATTTTCTGGCATTTATTGTATATAAATAATATCTCCATATAGTAGTTCTTTGGTTTTCTTTGCTTTTTGTTTTTTAACGTGAACACTATTGTGGAGCCTGAGGGAGCACAGGCAAGTGACTCTGTCCAGATCTTACAAAATCAGGATTTGGAAGAGTCAAGCCTTCCTTCTCCCTGCCAATTTAGTAACCCGAGAAGCTTTAGGGAAACATCGTGCCACCAGGGGGCAGCTTCACAGCCTACGAGCCACAAGCCCCTCCAGCTGTAGGCGGGGATACGAGGACCCGTGGAAACTACAGGCTCCCGAGTGGTGCATAGATCTGCAGAGGTGGGCTGTGACGGGGCTGTGACGTGTCCCTGCGTGGTGGGCACGGCATCGTGTGGCTCCGCTCTGCACACGGCCCTTCTCGCATAGGCATCATTGGTGCTAGCCGCCCGGAAGGCCCCCCACCACCCCACAACTCTTGGGGCGGGGCCAAGACTTCTGCGACCCTTTGCTCTCCAGCAAGTAGCCGGTCCCCACCTGCACCACGCACAGGGGGACAGCCTACGTCATCCTGGAAGGCGCTGCTCCCGGCAAATGCCTGGAGAGCTCAGCATCACGGGAGAACGGAACCAGCTGCAGAAGGACCACTTTCCCGTCCCACTCCCTTAGTCGATCTCCGCCCCTGGCACAGGAACCTCCTCTGCATTCATCTTGGTTTGGTTTGGTTTTAGTGGGATTTGCTTTTGTTAGGGGCTAAGGACGAGCACAGGATCTCACTCATGCTAGACTAGCTCCTTATCACGGAGAAATAATCACATCACATCACACACACACACACACACACACACACACACACACACACACACACCAGCACAGGGTGCTTGTTTCGAACGATAAAAGTGTGTGACTGAAAGCTAGTGTGGTGGCGCACGCCTGTAATCCAGCTCTAGGGAGGGAGAGCAGGTGGATGGCAAGTTCGAGGCCACCGAGACTCTGTCTCAAAACAAGCAAGCAAAATGTCCAGTGAGAAACCCTCTGGCGTGACTATGCTAGTACTAAAAAAGGAAGCTAATCGGGCACGGGTTTACAAGGAGGCGCTGCTGACAGAATGCGCTCACGGCACACGCAAAGTAGGATCAGTTCCTCGGGAGTCCCCACGGCGACCACTGCAGACTGCGGGACTAGGGGCGGGGGCGCACACAATTGTCCCCATTCTTCTCCGCCCCGCCTAGCGAGTTCTGCCTGCTCTCTGGCCTAATTCCCTGGTGGAAGTCCAGAGCCGGCTGTGGAGAGGGAAAACCATCGCCCCACCCCGCCCTGCAATCCTCTGTCCCGCAGGCGCAGGGCGTTAGAGCCCTCACTCCCGATGACCCTGGTAGCCAGCGCGGCAGGTGCAGCCCAGAGGCAGCGCGTAGGTGAGTCAGTCCCAGTCTGGGAAGAGTGGCTGGGGACGGGATGAGGTCGCAATGCGGGCAGGCAACGGGGTCCACCTTTAGTTTTGCTCCGGGCCCACAGACCAGCAGGGGAATGGTAGCTCTCACCCGCAGCTTTCCTCCAAACTGCTCTGCAGGATGTGAGAGCGCTGACCGGCAGGGAGCCTAGGGGACAACAGGGAACTCATGATGACATTTTGCTGGGAAGGGAGGCTCAGGGTACTTTCCATTTTAGAGCACTGGCTTAGGGCCCAGAAGGCCTAGGCTAGCATCCTCTCCTGTTACCAGACTTGCCTGAGGAGCCGGGGTTCCTAGGCAGTTCCACAGCCATACTGAGTTTCCATATCCCCATCCATAACACAGCAGCAAGGTCCCAGTGGAAATGAAACTTAAAAACGCTTCAAAGTGTGGAGAAAGATGTCTGTGTGCACCAAGAGATCCCCTAATTTTAGCTAGGAAACTAGCCTGCCTTTCCCCCTGAGAGAACGGGACCCAGGAGTCCCATGGGAGCAAGGGAAAGAGAAAAGGGGACCCTGTGCGCCAGCACAAAGCTTTCTTGTGGGCGGCAGGGACAGTTGGTGCTTTCAGTCAAGAGGACATCCTTCCCCTGTCCTCAAATGTCGCGCATCTCCTCCAGACACCTTTGCCTCAAACCATGGAAAGGCACTGTCAAGATGGTCAGGGACCGCCGGGGTGTAGTGGCACGCCTTTAATCCTAGCACTTGGGAGGTAGAGGCAGGTGGATCTCTGTGAGTTCGAGGCCAACCTGGTCTACAGAGTGAGTTCCGGGACAGGCTCCAAAGCCACAAAGAAGCCCGGTGGGGGGGGGGGTGGCGGGGGGGGGGGGGGGGGGGGCAATGATGGTCAGGGCCTTGGCTTTTCCTGATAGGAAGCAAAGTTCCCATTTGTTGGCCTGGAACTGCAAGGGTGTGGTAAACTTAATGGTATGCCTCAGTCGCGGTCGCCCGGCGGCTCCCTTCCACTCTCCTGATGCATTTAAGGTGGGCTGTTATATTCTACGTCAATTAAAGAACAAACAGTTCCAAACAAACAAACCAAAAAAGGAGGCTTGGAAGGTAGAGTCCCCTGCAGAGTTCAGTGCAGCCTCAGGGTCAAGGCGAGGTGGATGAAATGCCAGCCAACAGGAAAATAGGGTTAGGAGTCACTCTTCTGCAAAGTCCAGCAATCCAACAAGGATCCTGGAGACTAAGCGAGTTCTTGGCCTTGAAGGAGTAGGAACATTGGGTGGTAGTGCTGGGGCCCTTCTCCCGTGTTGTTTAAAATTCCTCCAACTGCCAAAAGCTAGATCCAAGAAGATCCATCCTAAGGACCTCCATCCTTCCCATTAGCAAGGACCCAGCAGCTATGACTGGAAGATTCAGTTTGAAGGTAGGGACTTTCCTTACTACCCTGAGCCACACAGAATTGTAGCCCCCAGAGCCGGGGGCTGAGCATACATTGGGCATCAGAGAAACACCAGACACGGGGAAGCGGACCCAGGCCTCTGACTCAGCGGGCAGCCTTTCCCATCATCCCTTCTCTGGTCCCACAGATGTCGGGTCCCCCAGCCTCCTCCCCACTCCACCCCACCTTGGTGCGCCGTTGTCCCCATCTTCTTGGTCTTCACACCCACTTTCTCACCCTAGTCTCATCACCACCTCCTGGGAGCGGTCACTTTAACCCAATATGTCCCCTTGCTCTGGGAGACTCACAGCCAGGGGACTGTGGGAGACGCAGGATTTGGACCAGAGCTCGGGCAGGTGTGTGTGTTCAGTTCCCTGAACCGGCAAACTAATCCGGGTTGAGTGAGACTTGTCATCCCTACCCCCCCACACCCAAGTGCTGGCTCCGCCCCCTAGGTTGTCTGTGGGAGGAGACCACTGAGAGGTTTTCTGTAATCTGGTATCAACCTGGGGAGCCGCTAGGGTGTGTTGCGGGTCTCAAGTTTCTGGCATTTGTGGTCAGTGCACCCCTCTTGGGTGCCACCTCCTCTTGGGGACCTTCTGTTATTCTTGACGGATGTCTTCAGTGGGTCCACTTCAACTGGACTCTGGACTAAGCCTAAATTGGAACCCAGTGGATCTTAGCCCCAGGGGAATCTCAGCCCAACAGGGTAAGAAATGATCAGGCAACTGGCAGAATGCAGGGGTGCAGGGTGCCGCACAGGGATCTTGGCAAGGCGGCTTACAGAGTTGAAGCAAAATGGATACTGAAATCAACTATTCATTACATCTGCCTTATTTTATTTTTTTTTCTTTTCCCCACAATGCTAAGGTAGGCACTCATTTACAGCCGAGAAATAAATTGGTTTTGAGACTGGTTTTACTACCAGCAAGTGGTAGGAACTTGAACCCCCGCTGCTTGATGCCACAGCTGTTTTTAAGCTCTATGCAATCAGTATAACAACCAACGGCAGCAGTAGTACGCAAAAAAGCTCTGAGAAATGTCTCAGAATAGAGGAGCTGTATAAATAAATGATAAATGGTGAGGGGGCTAGAGAGATGGCTCAGTGGTTAAGAGTACTGGCCGCTCTTCCAGAGGTCCTGAGTTCAATTCCCAGCAACCACATGGTGGCTCACAACCATCTGTAATGAGTTCTGGTGCCCCAAGCAAGTGGAACACTGTATCCATAGTAAAGAAATATTAAAAAACAAAAACAAAATAAATGGTATGGTTGGAGTGCCAAATAGCATCTAAAAGGGCTTTCCAGGAAAGCCAGAAGCTGGTGTAATCAAAGGGAAGTTCCAGCAAAGGCGACTCACAACCAGCTATGTTCCGATGTTTGGGGTACCATTCCTTTACAGTCGATGTTCATCACATTCACAGTAGACCCCCCCCCTTCAGCAGGTGCCCCTCAACACTGGGGATTCAGTTTCATGAGGTTCAGGGTTTACTTCAGCAGGTGGAAGGTGGACCCAACCCAGAGTCCACAGCGAAGGGCTGCCTCTCCTGTGGGGCTTGTGAATCATGATGGACAGTAGCTCCTCCCACTGCCCATCTCTGGGACTGTCTTGGGGGATGGCTTCCTGAAAGAGGTGGAGGTTTTCTTAGAAACCATGCTTCCCCATAATTCAGTCAGACACAGTTACAGGAATATGTGCAAAAGAGCAACCAGCCATAAAGTGGAGAGACTGACTATGGAAAGAACAAAGGTTCTTGAAGAACATATGTAAGGCTTAACTATCCCAAACGCAGTCAGGCAACGGTGGCGCACCCCTTTAATCCCAATACTCAGGAGGCAGAGGCAGGTGGATCTCGGTGAGTTTAGGGCCAGTCTGGTCTACAGAGCGAGTTCCGGGACAAGCTCCTAAGCAACACAGAAAGACCCTGTCTTGAAAAACAAAACAAAACAAACGAACAAAACTATCTCAAAAGCTTAGAGTTTCCTAGGGAAAGGACAATGATGTTTTGTACCTGCTCCTGGAGGCGGGGTTCTTCCTGGGGTTGGCACTTTCTGGGATCCCTCCAGGGCCTGCTGGGTAGAGCCTCGTCCTTCCTACCTGGCCTGTCTTATACAAGCCCTCTTATTTATCTTCCTCAGTTTACCAATCTTGCCATTTTAACCCTAGCTTTTATTTTTTCCCCTAAAATTTATTTATTATGTATACAATATTCTGCTTGCATGTATGCCTGCAGGTCAGAAGAAGGCACCAGATCTCATTGTAGATGGTTGTGGAAATTGAATTCAGGACCTCTGGAAGAGCAGCCAGTGTACTTAATCTCTGAGCCATCTCTTCAGGTTCCTAACTTTCATTTTCTTAAATATTTATTATTTTATGTGTGTGAATGTCTTACCTGCACGTGCATACCTACGGTTGGTCAGAAATCGTTGAACCTGGGTGGTGGCGTACAGGTGTAGTCCCAGCCCTCGGGAGGCTGAGGCAGGTGGATCTTTGAGAGTTCAAGACCAGCCTGATCTATAGAGTGAGTTCAAGGATAGTCAGGGCTACACAGAGAAATTTGTCTTGAAAAACCAAAAAACAAACGAATAAAAAAGAGGGGTTTGGACCCTCTGAGACTGGGGATACAGGTGCTTGTAAGACACCCTGTGGGTGCTGGGAATCCAATCTGGGTGCTCTGCAAGAGCTACATATGCTCCTAACCCAACATTCACCTTAACTGTGACATGGTTGTTTTTTGTTTGTTTAGTTTGGTTATTCACCTGATCTTTCTATCAAGTACTGGGATTACTGGATACACTACCACGTGTAACTTTTTGCTTTGTTTGTTTGTTATTGCTTTGATTTTTCCGAGAAGAGGTTTCCAGGTGTAATAGTCCTAGCTGTCCTGGAACTAGCTCTTGTAGACCAGGCTGGCTTTGAACTCACAGGGATTCACCTGCCTCTGCTTCCCAAGTGTTAGGATTAAAGGCGTGGGCCACCACCACCCAGCCTTGTTTTTGTTTTTTTGTTTTGAGATGGTATTTCTCCTGTGTCCCAGGCAGGCCTGGAACTTGAAATCCTCTCTGTCAACCTGTCCACCTATCTTATGCTGGGGCTACAGACGTGTACCAATCATGCCTTAGCATTATCATTTTATGTTGCTGTCTTCAGATTACGGTGTAGTCCACGTTACAGTAACCAAATGTCACCCTCCCAGATGTTGATCTCCAGAGTGGCACCCGTGACAGCTGTGACATCATCCCAGGCTTCCAACCCTGTGTTGGTAATCTGATGTGAAGATGGCCGCCAGGGTGATCTGGGGGAGCCTCGGCCTGCTTCGAGTCTTGTGGTGTCTCCTTCCCCAGACTGGCTACATACACCCAGATGAGTTCTTCCAGTCACCTGAGGTCATGGCAGGTAAAACCCCCATGAACTTTTAATAAGATTGGGGCAGCAGTCGATATTTGGTGGGGGAAGACAACACATGTGGGGGTGAATGAGCGGGCCAAGTTGCAGCCTCTCTGGGATTAGAACTTGAGGTGGGGAATGGACATTTTCTTCACCTTCTGGAGGATGTTAATGAAAAACCTGCCTGTAACATGAGGGCCGGGCTGCTTGTTGGGGTTTATGTCCTGCCCAGTTCCCCACAGCTGACAAGCCCCAAAGAAAATCACACAGACATCTCCATAAAATTATAAACTGATTGGCCCATTAGCTCAGGCTTCTTATTAGCTCTTGTAGCCTATATTAACCCATTGTTCTTATCTATGTTAGCCACATGGCTCGGTACCTTTCACAGCAGGGCAGGTCACATGTTGCTTCTTTGGTGGTCTGGGCTGGACTGGTAGGAATGGGCTTCTTCCTTCCCAGAATCCTCCTGTTCTCATCACCCCGCCTCTACTTCCAGCTGTGGGGAACTGGGCAGGACATAAACCCCAACGAGCAGCCCCCTCATGTTACACCTGCCTCTTCCGTGTTTTCCTCCTTGGGCCAACAGATCATTCAGCATGTGATTCTGGATGTGTCAGCAGAATGACTTCATAGCTGGGCTTTCATGGTGGCTAGGGAAGCTTGCCTGACGTAAGAAAAGTTGTGAAGTTGTCTCGTGCAGGCTCAAGGAGAGTCTTCTCCATTCAGACCAAGATTAGTAGTCACACACAAACCCTTTTTTTCTTTATGTAATTTTTTTAGGTATGAATATTCTATCTGCATGTATGCCTGCATGTCAGAAGAGGGCATCCATCACAGATGGCTGTGAGCCAGCAGGTGGTTGCTGGGAATTGAACTCAGGACCTCTGGAAGGGCAGCCAGTGCTCTTAACTGCTGAGCCATCTCTCCAGACCTTTTCTTTTTTAGACATGGTCTCTCTATGACATTCTGGCTGTCCTGGAGCTCACTCTGGCCTCAAACTCAGCAAGGTCCTCCTTCCTACTTCTGTCTCCTGAGTCCTGGGATTAGAGGAAAGGAGTTTACCACTATTCCAGACTCATCTTTTCCTTTCTGAGACAAGGTCTCATGCAGCCCAGGCTGGCTTTGAACTGCCTATGTCCACAAACCCCTGATTCTTTGGCTCCCACTCCTAGAGTGCTGTGATCACCGGCAGGTGCTTCTATGCCTGGTTTACGCTGTGCTTGGGATTGAACCCAGGATTTTGTGCACAATGGGCAGGCAATTATTTTGTTTTTTGAGACAGGGTCTCACACTGCAGCCCAGGCTTGCCCTTAAACTCATAGCAATGCTCCTAGCAAGGCTTCTGAGTGTGAGAGTCACCACACACACCTGACTGTTATACACTTCTAGCCCACTGGTCAGACTGTATCACATGACCACATTAGTCATGAAAACAGCTGGGGAATAAAGCCCTTATATCTGGGCATGTGCCCAGCTAAATGACTGAAGGAGAGAAGGAGAAAGATTCAAAGACACTTGGTTTGATTTTCTTCTTTTTCTTTTGTTTTTCTTTTATTTATTTATTTATTTATTTATTTATTTATTTATTTATTTATTTATTATGTATACAATATTCTGTCTGTGTGTATGTGCTGCAGGCCAGAAGAGGGCACCAGACCTCATTACAGATGGTTGTGAGCCACCATGTGGTTGCCGGGAATTGAACTTAGGACCTTTGGAAGAGCAGGCAATGCTTTTAACCACTGAGTCATCTCTCCAGCCCCTGGTTTTTGGTTTTTCAAGACAGGGTTTTTCTCTAGCTTTGGAGCCTCTCCTGGAACTCGCTCTGTAGACCAGGCTGTCCTTGAACTCACAGAGATCCACCTGCCTCTGCCTACCAAGTGCTAGGATTAAAAGCACGCACCACCACCCCTGGCGGTTTGATTTTCTTGCCCTCTTAAGATAGCATCTCTCTATACAGTTAAGGCTGGCCTCAACCTCACCGTGTAATCCACAAGGCCTCAAATTTGTAGCATTCTCACTCAGCCTCTAAATGTTACAAGTGTGCACCAGCAGTCAGTTGTGGTGGTGCACACCAGCAGGATTTTCTGAAGGAGGCAGAGGCAGGTGGATCTCTGTGAGTTCAGGGTCAGCCTGGTCTACAAGAGCTAGTTCCAGGATAGCTCCAAAGCTACAGAGAAACCCTGTCTCGAAAAACCAAAAAACCAAAAACAAAAGACAAATGTGCATTAGCACACTCAGCTCGAGGATAAGGATCATGGCATGGGAAACCTAACTCTGCCACCCAGCTCAAGAGGTAGATTTGAACTGTTAGCTGGAAATCCCAGTCTCCTCCTGTATTTCTGAGATGTCTCTCTCATGGGCATAAGCACAACCCCCCGACCTTAAACTCTTGATCCTCCTGCCTCTGTCTCTCACGTCCTGGAGTTCTGGGCAGGTGCCACCATGCGTGGCTTCCAAGCTCATTCTTGATGGCAGAATTTTATTCTCCTCACTTATGGAACCATGTTTGCTCTTTCCTTTCTGTTTCTGGAAATCACCTACATTGTTGTTAGAAGCCCTTTCATCCTTAAACCAGCCGGGACACATACGATCCTCTTCTTGCTTTGTTTCTTTGCCTGTCTCCTCTGCATCCAGGATGGTCTCTGCTGTTCAAGAGCTGGGGAGAGAAGGCAGGCCACCTGAGAGACTCTCCCACAAAGCAGCTTTACCAAAGCAGGAAACCACCTGGTGCAAGCCGGTGGGGGGGGTTGTGCTGGAAGTGTCCACCAGGAGGCCTTGTAATCCTGGTGCCGACCCCTGACTCTTCCCGGCACAAGCCTAAGCTTGGAACTGGCTCACTCCTGCCTCTTTCTCTGCAGAGGACATCCTGGGTGTGCAGGCTTCACGGCCCTGGGAATTTTACCCCAGCAGCTCCTGCCGTACTGTGGTCTTCCCACTGCTGACCTCTGGCTCTACCTTCTGGTTGCTCAGGTTCTGGGAAGAGCTGGGGCTCTGGCCCGGTCTGGTGAGTGGCTACGTGCTGCTGGTGGGGCCCCGACTCCTCCTCACTACCCTCTCCTTTGCCCTGGACTGGGCTGTGTACTACCTGGCCCCGCTGTGGGGGGCAGATCGCTGGAATGCCATGTGCCTGCTGTCTGGGTCCTATGTCACTCTGGTTTTCTACACAAGGACCTTCTCCAACACCATCGAGGGACTGCTCTTCACATGGCTGCTGGTGCTGGTGTCCCCTTATGTGGCATGGAATCCCACATCAGAGAAGCCTACTCCAGGCCCATGGTGGCAGAGCTGCCTTCTTGGTGCTGTCATGGCTGCTGGCTTCTTCAACCGGCCAACCTTTCTAGCCTTTGCTCTGGTCCCCCTTTCTCTCTGGGGCATCCACAGAACCTTGAAACCTAGCATCACCGCCTTGATCCAGGAGGCCCTGGTGCTGTTACCAGGGGCTGCTCTTGCTGCAATGTTGTTTATAACCATGGACAGCTGGTACTTCTCCAGCCTCTCCAGATCCAGCAGCCTTGTTCTTACACCTCTCAACTTCTTGTACTACAACCTGGACCCCCAAAACCTCGCAAGGCATGGCACACATGCACGGCTTACTCACTTGGCAGTCAATGGCTTCCTGCTCTTCGGGGTTTTGCATGCTCAAGCCCTGCAGGCTGCATGGCAACAGCTCCACAGCTGCTTCCGTGTGTTTGCGCAAACGGGCTTCTTGGGGATGCTGGGTGCTAGTGGCCTACTGTCTAGCTCCAAGTCTCATCTCCTTCTCCTCTACTTCACCCCCCTGGTCCTGCTCTCTGCCTTTAGCCACCAAGAGCCTAGATTCCTGATTCCCCTCATAGTCCCTCTAGTCCTGCTTTGCAGCCCACAGACCCAGCCTATACCCTGGAAGGGCGCCCTGGTCTTCTTCAATGCCCTAGGTGCTCTCATCTTTGGCTGCCTGCATCAGGGAGGCTTGGTACCCGGCCTGAAGTATCTGGAGCATGTAGTCCACGCACCCGTCCTCCCGGGCACGACCACACACTACATGCTTCTCTTCACTCACACCTACATGCCTCCTCAGCACCTCCTCCACCTCTCAGGCCTGGCATCGCCTGTGGAGGTGGTGGACATGGGCGGGGCTGAGGACTGGCTCCTGTGCCAAGCTCTGAACAACTTCAGCGGACAAGCAGCCTGCCGACTGGCTGGTGGGCCACAGCTCTGCCGGCTCTTTGTAGTAACTCCAGGGACCAACAGGCATGCTCTGGAGAAGTGCGGACTTCCTCTCAAGAATGAGACCCTCTTGTTTCCCCACTTGACCCTGGAGGACCCTCCAGCCCTGTCCTCCCTACTCAGCCAGGCTTGGAGGACCCACCTTAGTCTTCACATCATAGAGCTGGAGGGTGAGCCTGTCATGACAAAGCAGCCATGGCCCAAGATTCAGCCATAGGAGGAAGGTGCCACCCCACCTTTTACACAGGCTGCTGAGTTGAGACACTGCTGTGTCTTCTGGGCACAGTGACAGGTTGTCACAACAGTGACAGGTTGTTCCTCTAGGTGAGACACCAAAGATCTGACCAGTCATGGTCCCAAAGCCAAGATCCCCAAAGAAACCTAGCATACCCACTGGCACGTGTCTGTTTCTACGCCATTACTTCCGATTGCTGTAATGTCTAAAATACATAGTCGCACCTGGTGATCAAAGACAATGAACTGCTGATGGTATCCCTGAGTGGCCTTGCCCAACTTACAATGCCTGACTTCTTCCTACCATCATTTCCAATCTGACACTGTGAAGTAGGGACAGAGGTGGCTCATAGTCAGCTCTAGTCCCTAGTCTGTGACTCATAAACTGACCATAATGAAGTCCCTTCCACTCAGCCAACCTACCACCCTGATGGATCAGAGGGTCCTGAGGTCAGTGTCAGCCCTGGAGCCCGTAGCTCATGTCCCATAGCTTGATACACGTCTCTACAAGGCTCTTTCACTAGGAAGCCGTCGTTGTATTATATTTCATAACACTTTGGTGCCTGCATACGCAGTATTTAGGTATAACCAGAACAAGCCATTCTAGAAAATACCTCCCTATCCTCTCCTACTCCTTTCCTTGAGCAGTGGTGGAATTTTCCCAGTCATTTTCTCAAAGATTGGGTAATGTAGCTCAGGAGTCGAGTGCCTATTTAGCATGCTCAAAGCTGTAGGAACTACCCCCCCCCGCACCCTCCCCCACCAAGAAAAAGAATCACTCTCCCAGAAGGAAGAACCCAGGTGCTCTCCCTCCTCAGCGCTGCTGTGAGGCCCTCTTAGCCTGCCCCAGTGGGAACACAGACTGCTCAGAATCTGGTACCCAGTCTAAAAGCTTTTCCAACAGCTTCAAGCCTTCTAGACGCTAACATTAACTGAGTGGCTTAAACAGAAGTCTAGAAATTGAGTTAGGGAGTCTCAGAATAAAAAGGGAGGTTACATGCTTGGGTCTTCAGTTAGCTGGCCCCTCGAAACGAGGAAGAGGAAACCAAACATCGTGTGCCACGGTATCCGAGGCCTTAGTGCTCAGAGGTGACAGAGCAGGCAGCCTCTGAGTAGCACAGATGCTGTGAAGAGTAGGAGGGGTGATCAAGACTACAGACCCTGGAGTTACATGCCCGGGCTCACCTCACTCTGCATGGCTTCTGAGTTGCGCGAAAAATAGCCTCCATCCTCACACGAACGGAGCTTTAAATCAAAAACCACACAGGATGCAAGAACAAATATCAACAGACACTTAACGTGTTAACTATGAAGTTAGCAAGATCCTTCAGACTTATCCATCAGCTTAGACATTTAATCAAAGATTGTGGCAACCTCAGGGTTATCATTCCATCCACCATCTTCCCTGGTATTCTGCTCCAGGCGTAGATGCAGCAGCATTTATTCAGCTTCAGTCCCGCTTGTAGAAAGCAGGCCATGGTTGGCCATGGCTCTCAGTAGTGTAATGTTCTGGTCTAGAAGACTCTTTTATCTCTGGTGCCTTCGGGGTCTTTATGTCCTGCCAGCCACAGGACTAGCACATGTCCATTTGAACGTAGGCATCTGCATGTTGACAATCCGAGTCAGATTCGAAGCCGTGCATCGTGCCCGAGATGACTCCTGAACCCTAAGGTTGGTGTAGATCACTGAAGGGAGGAGGGGACGTGACTTCGGCCTGGCAGAGTCCAGTCTGTGCTTACGCCTTGGCGCCCGGGCCCTTCTGATGACCTGGGGGTGGTCCTGGACGCTCTCGGAGGCCGCGGCGGAGTTCCTGAGTGAAGGTGTCCTTGAACCGCGCGACGCGGCGCCCCAAGGAGCCCGGAGACTGACCCGCGAGGGCTCGCAGGCGGCCGGCTGCATCGCGGCCGCGCAGTTGCAGCTGCAGCAGGGCGAAAGCCGTGAGTTGCGCCGCCCGCCGGATGGGCCGCGACTCGGACAGCCGCTCCACCAGCTGCGGGTTGTGCAGCAGGGCAGCCAGCAGCCGCCGGAAAATCATCGTCCTCCGAGCGCCCGGGAACCCGTAGCCCGCCGCGCTCGTCTTCCTACAGGCCACGCCTGACGACGGACAAGCCGGCGCCTTCTGATGACGACACAGCCGCGGCATGATTGGGCCCGGCCACGTCCGCCCACTGCAGCACGCCGCACACATTTCCGTTTCCGCCGCTGCCAGGTTCTTCCAGCCGTGGCCGCGTCGTGGTTTGTGTCTCCGCACCATGTCCGGTGGCCTCCTGAAGGCGCTGCGCAGCGACTCCTACGTGGAGCTCAGCGAGTACCGGGACCAGCACTTCCGGGTGAGGCGGCCGGGCCACGAGAGGGGCAGGCCTTGGGCTCGAATGCTGAGAAACGTTTGCACCTGTCTTATTGTGTCTTCCTGCCTGTTTGGTTGGGGGTCCTAAAATGCGAAGCCCTTTAGCTCCTAGGGAACCTGAAACTTGTTTTACCATTCTCTTACTGCCGCTGCGGTTACCAGCACCGATGCAGGGAGGTTCGGGTGTGGTGGCTGTTTGATGGGCTTGTCCTGATTGGGAAAGTGACTTTAAAGAAGAAGGAGGTATCCCTACGATGGCTTCGTACATTATTGCCGTTGTTTGTTTGTTTTCGAAACAGGGTTTCTCTGTAGCTTTGGAACCTGTCCTGGAACTATCTCTTGTGTGACCAGGCTGGCCTCGAACTCACAGATCCGCCTGCCTCAGTCTCCCGAGTGCTGGGATTAAAGGCGTGTGCCATCACCGCCCGGCTCCGTTTTTGGTTTTAATAATCAGCCAAACACTGCCATTTGGCACTACAGCCCTTTGTTTTGTAAGACAATCCTACAAAGTGGGCAGTAAGTAGGAGACTCAAAGTTGAATCCTGTTTTTTGCTGTCTGACGGGCATCGAAAATAGAAAGCCACACGAGTCACATCAAGGTCTGGGTGACAAAATTCAGTACAGCCATTGACTACACAGAGAAACCCTGTCTCGCAAAACGAAAAGGAAATTAGCCTAATTTGAAAACGTCTCCTGTGTGTCTGGTATGAGTTTCGCTTCTGCCGCTTTTTACAGGTCTCACTACCTTGAATAGTTCCACATTAATACCTAACCGTTTTCCATCTAAAGTTTCCTGGGTAAAACCAGGAAAGGAATCTTTTATCAAAAGCCTATAGCTCCTTTCAAACAGTAATAATTTCTGTCGTGTGCATTTTCAAGTGTCTTCTAAATGCAATGTGTCAGGGCTGCATTGAGTGGGAAATTGCATTATGTTGAAGCAGTAGACTGGATTTTACTTGTGGGAAAAGGGCAGCAGTACACAGTGAATCTGCTAGCCGGGTGTGGTGGGGACATTGAAGTCCTCGCTGTTCTGGAGACTGGGGCAGAAGGATCACAAGTTTGAGATCAGCCTGCCCCTGGACAAAGCGAATGTCGAATGTCGAAGTGATTGTTTTCTCTAATGGCTCATCTAAAGTTCTAAAACCTGACGCTCATTTGGGTTTTTGGTTTGTTTTGGGTTTGTTTTTTGAGACAGGCTTTCTCTGTGTAACCACCCTGGCTGTCCTGTCCCGCTGCAGATTCGCCTGTGGCAGACTCAGGAACGCTGGGATGAAAGCTTCTGCCACCCGTGTCTGTCGTGTGTGTCTCCCCCCCCCACCCCCCGTTTATTAGTTTGAGCACACAGTGACTACAGTGGGGATATAAGACCAGAATTTACTTTATTTTGCAAAGTCTCACTTAAAGCCTGGCTGACCTGGAACTCATTGTGTAAACCAGGCTGGCTTTGAACTCACCAGAGGATTAAAAGAGTATACCACCATGCTCAGCCCAAAACTAAGTGTGAATTCTGGATATAACTCCTGTGTTTTTCCCGTCGGTGACTCAACTGTTTTCCCTCACATGTACAGTGGGGATGATACATTAGGACCTACCACATCATAGTTCTGAGAATTAAAGAAAACAACCTAAATGTAGCTTTCTCACCTGCAGGCCTTTAGTGATTCCGCAGAATCACTACTTTCTTGTGTATAGCTCCATGTTCTTACTTTTTAACACTGTAGCTAGGAGGGCTAGACAGATGGCTTGGATGTTAGCCTAAACTGTTCTTCTGGAGGACCTGGATTCAGTTCCCAGCACCCACATGATGGCTCACAACCATCTGTAACTGATTCCAGCTGATCTGCTGCCCTCTTCTGGTCTCTGAAGACACCAGCCATGCACATGGTGCACAGACATACAGGCAGGCAAGACACCAATATGAATAAACTAATATACCCAAACCAAGAAAAAAACCTATAACTTGGGAGATGGGTGTGATGATCCATTCCTGTTACTGAAGCCATTGGGGAGGTGGTAGCATGAATGTCAGGAGTTTGAGGCCAGATTGGGCTATGGTGGTCCTATTTCAAAAAGTAAAACAAAGTAATGGGCTAAGTAGACATAGCTCAATATGTGGAATGCTTGCCTAGCATGCAGGCAGGAAGCCCTCGGTAGATCCTGAGCTGTACATAAACTCAGTGGTGAATGCCTGTAAACCCAATACTTGGAAGGTTGAGGCAGGAGGATCAGAAATTCGGTGTCATCTCTGGTTACATAGTAGGTTCACAAAAGCCTTTACTACATGAAACCCTGTCTCAAAAACAACAACAACAAAAAAAAAAACACAATTTTTTTTTCTTTTTGTGGGGGAGGTATGGTTCTAGACAGGGTTTTCTGTGTAGCTTTGGAGCCTGTCCTGGAAGGAACTCGCTCTGTAGACCAGGCTGGCATAGAACTCACTGATACCCACCTGCCTCTGCCTCTGCCTCTGCCTCCTGAGTGCTGGGATTAAAGGCGCGCTACACAATAGCCTAGCTTCAGAACCACCTCTTACAGCAAGGACAAGTATGTCAGGGGTCAGGATGAGGCAAAGCTTTAATTTCCAGATCAGAAGGGGCATCTGTGTTACACTTCAGATTATAACTTTAAGCAGGCTCTATAATTTAGTTTTCCAGTCTGTTCATTTTGTGTGTGTGTGTTATGCTTGTGGGCACAGGAAAGGTCAGGAAGTGTCTCTCACTTTCACCTCTCTGAGGACTCACTCTTGTTTCTGCTCTGCACTGTGGACTCCAGGCGAGGCTGGCCTCAAGCTTCAAGGAGACTGTCCCATCCGGCGGCCCTGTCTCCTGTAGGAGTGCTGGGATTGCCATGCACGACACCACATCCAGCTTTTCACTAGGAAGGGTTCCGGGGTCAAACTCAGTTGTCAGGCTTGCACAGCTAGTGCTTTACTGGCTGGGTATTCTATAGCCCTACGCACATCTCTTTTGAGGTTGTAATGTTTAACTTGGTCTCTATTTGAAATTCTAGGGTGATAATGAAGAACAAGAAAAATTACTGAAGAAAAGCTGTACATTATATGTTGGAAATCTTTCCTTTTATACAACTGAAGAGCAGATTTATGAGCTCTTCAGCAAGAGTGGAGATATAAAGAAGATCATCATGGGTCTGGACAAGATGAAGAAAACGGCCTGTGGCTTCTGTTTTGTGGAGTATCCTTGGGGCTCACCGTATGGCCCTGGCTAATCTGGAGCCTGTGCCTCCGGGCTGTCGCTTTTTTTAAAGGCACTAATTTACTATAATCCCTGTACTTTTCTCTTAGTTCTTCCTGAGTCATACTCTGTAAACTGGGAAACTGATAGGTGTTCTGTTCAGAAACTGTTCACATATGAGTCTTTAAAAAAAAGTGTCTAATCCCAGCACTTGGAAGGCAGAGGCAGGGTATACAGAGAAACCCTGTCTTGAAAAAAAATCAAAAAGAAAGAGTTCTAGTTGGGTGTGGTGACACACACCTTTAATCTCAGCACTCAAGGCAGAGGCAGGGGGAATCTCTGTGAGTTAAAGCCCAGTTTTGTCTATATAATGAGTTCCAGGACAACCTGAGCTACATGGACCCTGTCTTGCACGCCCCTCCCCGCCAAAAAGAATCTTGTGATGGTATTCAGACTAGCTCTCCACCCCTGGGCTAAAGTCCCCAGGCAGCTGAGCATAAAGGCCCATTCCACCACAATGTTTGGTGTCTGATTTTGGAGCCCAACACACTTCTTTCTTTCTTTCCCTAGACATAAAGGACCAAAGTTTTGTACCCTAGCGGCAGTAACATAAAAGGATTCACAGGGACAACAGGGGAAAGATAAAAAAGGCCCATGGGACCCAGAGTGGTTACATTTGCCTGGCAAACATGTGATCAGCATTCATGCTAAGCATACAAAAGCAAGCCTACTGTTGCTCCATCAAGCATTCATGGAACAAAAGTCATTAAATGCCTGCTGTTTGCTAGGCATTGTCTGGGCATCAGGTGCTGGGATTTGACCACATGTCAAATCCTTCCTAAAGACAAGGAAAGACTAATCTAGACCAGCAAGTCCAGTGTCAATTATAATTGCTTAAGTCAATAATTGGGATTTTTTATTTATATATAAGCATGTCTGTGTCTATGCATGATTTTCCTTTTTGGTAGTAGTGATTCTTAAATTTTTTATTATATTTATTCGTTTTATATTTTTATATGGGAGTGCTTTGCCTGCATGTATGTCAGCACAACATGCATATTTGATACCCTCAGAGGTCATAAGGCAGTGTCAGATCTGGGAACCACCATATAGATAGGGTCTGGGACTTAAGCCCAGGTCTCAGAAAGAGCATGTGCTCTTAACCATTGAGCCATCTCTCCAGCCCTCCCCACTCCCCCATGCCATTGTTTTTGTTTTGAGACAGAATCTTGGCATGAAGTCAGGCTGGCCTCAAATTCACAGCAATCCCCCTGCTTCGGTCTCCTGAGTGCTAGGATTATGAACATGAACCACTATATTCAACTTTATCATTGTTCTTGCATAAGAAGTTTGTGGTCCAATATTCATTGACTGTATTTTTCTATTTGCAAATCAAAACATGAACCAAATAATTATTAGCAGATATGTAGGAAATCATGCCTGACATAGTCTGGACAAAATGTCGTTTACCTATCCTTTCTGTGCTCCTAAGTGCTGTTGGTATCCCTTAACACTTACGTAAGATACTATTCAAGAGCAGACGCGGAGAACGCTATGCGGTACATAAACGGAACCCGTCTGGATGACCGGATCATACGCACAGACTGGGATGCAGGCTTTAAGGAGGGCAGGCAGTATGGACGTGGACGGTCTGGGGGTCAGGTACGCTACAAGGGCATAGCTAATCTGCCTGGGATTCCAGTTATCAGTTTGGTTATTCTTTGTATGAGCTTTTGCTTGTGAGTTTTGATGGGATTTGGGGGTTTTCCTAAGATATCTGGCATCAAACTTGAGATCCTCTTGCCTCTGCTTCCTGAATGTTGAAATCACAGATAGTGCACACCAGGACAATGATAAGGAAATTTTAGACTTTGAAATATTCTGTACATTTAAGTGTTACTGAACTCAACTTTGCTAGGGGCCTCCCTCTGCCACAGTGCCTAGAACAAAAGCAAAATACACTCAAATGAGTATTAATGTTTATGCCTTGTTTGTCCATGGACACCTGGAAAGGTTTAGCTATGCCTGGCATGACTGTAGGATCAACATCCCACGGTACTTTTTTTTTTTTCCAATTAAGGTTCGAGATGAGTATCGGGAGGACTACGATGCTGGGAGAGGCGGCTATGGCAAGCTGGTACAAAAACAGTGAGTGGTGAGAGCCCCAGTACACAGCTCACTCTGTTGATGAACATTACCCAAGGTCTGATCAGTATCTCTGTTGCACTGGAAGCCACTTCTGGTTTTCCTCTGAACATTAAAGACAGAATCCAAAAGAATGCCTTTAATTTTAGTCTTATTAGGTTGATTTTTCTGTTACTAGGTCAAACCCGTAATCCTGGGCAACAGACTCAATCTGTGCCAATAAAACTGTCAGCCGGATACCACACATCCTTTAGGGAGACTGGAAAATGTCAGAATTGACTTTACGAGTAGGTTGGTAATCTTCATGGAAAGTGAAATGATTTTTTACATTTTTAAGTTTGCATGAGTATTGCTGAGGTTTTGTTATCGTCTGTAGCTTTGCTCTAAATTAGGAACAGGTGTCTGTCAACTGGATTTGCTTTTTATATTGAAAATATATAGTTGGCACAAAAGTCAGCCTTAAGTTGTCTTGTTTGCTTCCGTGCTTTATATGTCAGATTTGAAGGTTCACTAAGCACATTCCGCAAAAGATACAAAGGTTTCACTGACAGTTTAAAACAAGAAACCCCCCAAAACAAAAACCCCAAACCCCAAGGACACTGTTATCACACGGTGGTTAGGTACTCGTGAGTGGTCCTAGGTTTAATCCTCACAAAGAGTTTGCGAACTACAAGTGTTTAAGAATAGAAAGCCTCTTCCAGGAACTGTCTGGTTTTTTGTTTGTTTGGCTTTGGTTCTTGGTTTTTTGTTTTTCCAGACAGGGTTTCCCTGTGTAACAGTCCTAGCTTTCCTGGAACTGGCTCTTGTAGACCAGGTTGGCCTCGAACACACAGGGATTCACCTGCCTCTGCCTCCCAAGTGCTGGGATTAAAGGCGTGCGCCACCACCGCCCAGCCAAAACTGTCTGATGTCCTTTTTCCCTCAAATCGTACCTGCCGTGGTTCGTGCAGTCATAGTAAGCTGGAGGTCTCTAGAAAGGGAGTCTAGAGAATTTTGCCTTTTCTTTCTAATATTGCATATGAATAATTTTTCATGATTAAAAAAAGGAAAATCTTTCATCTGTTATTTTTTTCTTACTAGTTTTTCAAGGTTTGTGCAGAACACCTTTGAGGCTGCATTAAAAATGGTTTTCTTGGAGCTGTAACAACTATAATGGAACAACTTAGGAAGCAAACACTTAATGAGGAGACACTTGAGGTTTAAAATAAAGCTTTTATATTGTAGTTTGAACTGTTTATCTTATATTCTTTTGTAGTAAAATATAACTTAGATTTCTACAATCTTATGACCCAAAACCGTGGGAATTTTATCTTCTGTAACAAGTTTCAATAAATTTAGACCAACTCAATTCTGTGTATACTTCCTTGCCTATAAAGAAGGACATGTTTTGGGACCCCTGTATCCTGGGACAGAGTCTGAATAATGCACAGAATTGGTATGTCCACTTCAGAGTGATACTTGTAAGTGCCATGGCAGTGCATGAAGGGGAAAGGTGGGCACCCTGTGAAACACAGGATGCACCAACCAACTGCTACTGCAGGAGCAGTGCAGAGTGGCTAGTTCTCCAGGTGATGGACAGGAAAGAAATGAGGCAGAATTAGAATTAGGATAGTTCTTGGGCTTGAGGATGCTAATTTTGACAGTCTCTTTTCATATTCTCCTTTGTCTTAGGGTTTCTATTGCTGTGAAGAGACACCATGACCACAGCAACTCTTATTAAAAAAAAAACATTTAATTGGGTCTAGTTTACAGTTTCAGGGGTTTAGTCCGTTTTCATTATGGCGGGACATGGTGGTGTCCAGGCAGACATGGGGCTGGAGAAGGAACTGAGAGTTAGTTCTGTATCTTGATCCATAGGCAGCAGGAGACTGTTCCGCAATGGGCATAGCTTGAACACAAGAGACCTCAAAGCCTGCCCCCACAGTGACACATTTCCTTCAAAGAGGTTATACCTCCTAACAGTGCTGCTCCCTTCGGGGTGGAGGGGGCTACTTTCTTCCAAACACCACACTCTACTTTCTTTCTAATTTCAGGCATAATATCTGAACTATACCCCATTTTAATCAAAGAAAGTGAGCTAGCTCTCAGAGATGTATGCTAAGCTTGGTGTAGTGACACATGCCTATAATCCTAACACTTGGGAAACTGAGGGGAAAAGACGAGCTAAGGATGGAACTCAAAAGGCACAGCCCATCTCTATCCCAGACAACAAAAAAAACTACAAAGCCCACAGAGACAGGTAGGCCGAGATGTGTGAATGAAGAACAGCCATTCTTATGTATTGTAAGCTGAGATATAAAACTTGAGACTTGGTTTAGAGTTCTGCTACCCAATATGGTGGTTAGACACCACATGTGGCTACTTAAAAATAATAAAATTGGGGCTGGAGCAATGGCTCGGGAGCACTTGCTGTCTGCCAGAGGATCTGGGTTCACTTCCCAGCACTCATGTGACTCACAACTAACTGCAACCCTAGTTCCATAGGCTCCAATGCCTTCCATGAGTATGACTGCATGCATCATGGTACACTTACGTGCAGCCAGAACACTCCTAAGTTAACAGTAATGACTGTTAACCAGATGGGGCTGTGCACATCTTTAGTCCCAGCTCTAGGGATTAGAGATGGCTCAGTGGTTAAGAACACTGCCTGCTTTTCCAAAGGTCCTGAGTTCAATTCCACATGATGGCTCACAACCATCTGTAACGAAATACGGTGCCCTCTTGAGGAAGAGACCTGGTCAGTCGTCCTCATCAACTTAGACCATGAAACCCAATATGGACAAGTTCAACAGAACCACCATATACAGGCTGCCCATTCATGCATCAGCATTGCCAGGGCATACATTTCTTTTTCTTTTTTCTTTTATTCTAGGGATTAGTGGGAGGCAGAGGTAGATGGGTCTAGAAATTGAGTTCCAGGACAGCCACAACTATACAGAGAAACCTTGTATCAAGAAACCAAAATAAATGAATGTTGTAATTCTTTGCTGTTTTGAGACAGTGTCGCTCTAGGTACCCCTGGCTGTCCTAGAACTCGCCCTGCCCTGTAGACACGGTCGGCCTTGAACTCAAGAGATCCTCCTGAGTGCTGGGATTAAAGGTGTGTGCTACCACAAATCACAATAAAAAGAATAAAATTAGCTGGGTAGTGGTAGCATATGCTAGAGGCGGGCATAGCTCTGTGACTTCAAGGCTAGCCTGGTCTACAAAGCAGGTTCTAGGACAGCCAAGACTGTTAAACAGAGAAAACTTTATCTCAAAAAAAGAAAAAAAAAAGAGATTTGAACCCTGAGTTTTCAGTCACACCAAGCACACTATGCTCAGTACGAGATAAGCTCATGCTCATCCAGGAAGGAGCTCCTGCACTGTACAGCTCAGCAGAGCTAGGGAGGCTTCCAGCGCCACTGTTCTTCAGAGAGCCTTTCCACTGGAATGACACTACGAGATACTAGCCACCTAACCATACATGTTACTCAACACGAGAACACATGTTTATAAAGGCATTTAGTTTATTTTTCAAAAAAATATTTTGCTAGAAGGGTTGAGTACTGACTGTAATTTTACATGATCATAATCTTTCAAGCGAACAACTTGTCTAGGTCTGCTTTTGTAACCCCAAATATAATAGCATTTCTTGGGTGCTATTCCCCAGACCTTAGGTATCTACCAGCCAGGAGGCAGAGCCTAGCACACAGCAGAAGTTGTGCTGTATAACTGTTGATTAACCTGGTCTCTTAACATATGAAGCAGAGCAGATAATCAGTGTATTTAATGTACAGTATTAACTCACTGTTTCTGACCGTGACCACTCAGACCCCCGATTGCTTCTAATGCAGGGACGGAAACAGTGAACTACAACAGCAGAGAAAAGGGACAGCTTACATTAGGCGAGTACTGGCTGTGTCCCCAGCTAGTCTGTTACTGTTGTACTCCAACCGTAAATTCAAGATGACCATGATATTTATAGTCAATAGTAAACACAGAATACAGTGCAAAGCCAAAAATGCACTGTGAAATTATTGGCAGCAACTGCTTTTCTCTTCCTTGAGCAGCCAACTGAAAGTTAATTCTCATGATTGCCTAAGAAAACTAAAAGATGCATTAAATCTATATTCATTACTAGAAATGTAACAAAAGGAAAGACCACTGGAAAGAAGCCACTACAGCCAGATAAGTTTGCCAAGAGGACTGGGCAGCTTATTGAAGGCTCGTCATATATGAACAGCTTTAAGTTTGTGCAGGGTTTACATTCATCCCAGTGACATAAAGTCTGCCTACTTTATGGGCATCAACAGTTCAGCACCAAGCCAGTGACAGCAAAGCATTGCTGCAAACATCAAGACAAAAAATTCTGCAATCTAGGACTTGAAAGCTAAACGGAAGTTTACATGTAGTTTACACAAGAGGAGAAAGAACAACTATGTATTCTAAAACCAAGGCTCACTAATGACAGAAACAGACTTAGAACATATTCAGAACATCCAGCATTGAGGCTAAAGCAAACTCAACAGTCCATCTGAAGATGCTGATCTTGGTAGAAGGGAAAGAGTAGCTACTTGGATCTGGACAACTGAGTCTCTGTTCATTCCTGCATGCTTCAGTGCTGACGTGACCATTTCTCAGACTGAAGAAGTGGCAACTCAGGCTCTGGACATTAAGATTCTCCCAGGCATTGAAAATACTAATGCACCTATGTAACCCAAACATCAGGGAGGCTGAGGAGAAGGACTGCAAGATTGAGGCCAGCCTGGGCTAAACAAAGACCCTGTTTCAACAAGCTTCTCAAAGGAACAAACACAACTGTAACTTCTCCATGAAAGGTCTGTTATTAGGGAAGTGAGTCAGATAATTCCTCACAAGACTTTTTAAAAGTTGAAGACATTTTGAGTCAATTATCTCATTGCTGCTGAAACAGTATAGGCACAGCAACAAAAGACATGCTATAAATTTTAAAGAAGTTCATGCTGGTGTAATTACGTCTGAAAATCTTAAGACCATATCTTTAGACACAGACCTAGAATCCTAGCATCTGGGAGAGGACTGGGAATTCAAGGTCATCTTCAGCTACATAATGAGTTTGAGGCTAGCCTGACATTTGAGACCCTGCTCCCCAAACCCTTCCCTAAGAGATCTTTAGGCAGTCTGGCCTGACATGGCTGACTGTAATTCTAGCTCCTCAGGTGTCAGGAGTATAAACAAAATCAGGCTTAGTCACCGAATAAATTCAAGACCAACATAGACAACTTCATGACGCCCTGTCTCGAAATTCAAAAAGCACAAAGGAGGCTCAGTGGTAGAGCACTTGCCTCCCACACAATCCCCAGAACCACAACAACAGAAGAGGCATATCTTCCTCAAACTTCACCATCCCCAGTGGTGACACAGCCTTTACCTGTGACAACATAAAGTGCCTCTACTCTTTTAATGACCTGAAGCACAAGAAATGCAGACCTGGTTTTCTGCGTAGGCCTTTTGAGGCTGGGTGATTAAGGAGAGGAGTGAGCTAAGACCACTGTCCAGTGTCCATACTGCTGTAGAGGATCACCCCTCACTGCAGCAGTGAGC